GGCCTGAGATAAACGCTCCGTGAGCTCTGCGACCGTGTCCGCCTGCTGGGCCACCCACTGCTGGTACTGCTCGAGCTTCTGGACTTCCTTCTCCAAAACCGTCTCGAGCTCGGCGACCTTGGCACCGATGGCACTGATACGCTGCTGTGGCGGGGGATCACCAGCCTTCTGAACTTGCAGCTGCTGCTTGTAGCGTCCTGCCACGCGCAGGTCCCCTGCCTTCTCGGCCAGGCGCACGAGGTCCTCGAGCTCGGAGACCGTGAGGCTGGGGTCAACAGCAGGGCCTGCATCGCCACCGTCAGGAGGAGGAGCACGCTGAGGAACAGAGGGGCGCCGCCGCACTGAGCCTTCCAATGCAGCGTCCGCCCCCTGGCTGGGCGCCTCGGTGCGCCACTCTCCGCAGTGCTTGCAGTAGACCATGGAGTCGAGGTTGCGCGCACAGCTGCACCATGCACAACGCCACTTGATCTCGCGCTCGGCGCGGCGGGAGGGAGGGCGGCGCACCTGCCACGGCGCAGCGGCCTGGCTGGGCGACCGAGGGGCTGCGTCAGTCGCGCCCTTGCCCTTCCCTCCACCGCTGGCGCCGCGGCCGACCGCGCGACCCTTGCCTCGCCAGAGGGCTGGGGCCTGGCCGCCGTCGCCGAGCGCCGCCGTGCCCCAGGATCCAGCACCGCCCCTGCCGCCACCGGCGAAGGCCATGGCGGAAGCGTGTCGGTGCCGATTCGAGGGACCGAGCCACTGGCTCGCTACCCCAACGCCGTCCCAAAGTTCGGAGTAGCAAGACCCACCTGGGCCTGGGACGGCTGAGGAGGAGGAGGAGGAGGAGGAGGATGAGGAGGAGGAGGAGCACGAGGAGGAGCAGGAGCAGGAGCAGGAGCAGGAATAAACCCGTCCGCCCGACGTTCCAGCTTCGTCGGCCCCCTCGTGGCCTCTATCCTGAGCTCTTCCAGGATGCCCTCCAGCTGTGGCAGGAAGTTCCTGCGGCCGGGGCGGAAGCAGAGAAAGGGGACACGAGGGGTGAGGGGCAAAAGGGCCAAGGATCGAATCGATAAGTCGGATCGGCGATCGAAATACATCGTGTCGGGGGCCCCCGAGGCTCACAAAGGGAGCGAATATAGCTAGGGGCACCGTGGGCCAAAGACACCTCTAGCAACACCCGACCTCTTGGGGGTTCTAAAATCCTCGGAATCCCCGACGAACCTCACCGCACGGTCTGTCACCACGCAGCTTTGGGGCCCTGGAAGCCTGGGTCGCCCGACACACCCTCGAAGGGACGAGAAGGAGGTGGAGGACGAGTCAGGTGGAGGAGGAGGAGGAGGAGGAGGAGGAGGAGGAGGAGGGAGGAGTCATATGGATGTGGAGGAGCTGGAGGAAGGACAAGGGAGGAGACCGGAGGAGGAGGAGGAGGAGGAGGAGGAGGAGGAGGAGAAAGAGGAAAAGGAGGAGGAGGAGGAAGAGCAGGAGGAGCAGGAGCAGGAGAAGCCCCTGGCCCCTTCCCTGCTCTTCTGGAGGAGCGGGGGAGACCGCCCTCGGGCAGAGCGCGCTCCCGCGCTACGCGCTCGGGCAGCTCGCTGAGGCGCCACGTGGCCTCTCAAGGCCTGGTCGCCCTCACCGTCGAGGACGCCTTCGGCCAGCAAACACGGAGCAAAGGGGGGCACAAACAAATCAACACACATTCCAGGGTTTCCCATATGGTTATGTCCTGGATGCCCCCTTCCTCTCCTTGATTTACAATGTTTCATACTACCTTCATCAACGTCCGCGTATGCTTGTGCCTGTGCCGAATCGGAGAATCGGAAAGAGCGTGTTCCACCGCTGCTGGCGGAAAACCGAGGGGGTCACTGGGGGTTCCCAACCCGTCCCCCCCTCCCCCCCCTCGAAAACGGCGGGGGGGTCACTATCGGTTCGAACCCCTCCCCCCTTTCCCCCCAATCCATCACGAAAAGGGGGGGGGGTCACTACTGGTTCGAACCCCCCCCCGCCGCCGGCAAACGATTCCCGCTCCTCGGAACATTTGGACAATGGTGGAGATACTGGGACAGTGGTTGGAACGGTGGTGGTGGGGACAGTGATGCGGGGACAGTGGGACAGTGGTGCGGACAGTGGTGGGGACGGTGGTGGTGGGGACTGTGGTGAGGGGTCAGCGGGACAGTGGTGGGGACAGTGGGACAGCGGTGGGGACGGTAGTGGTAGGGACAGTGGTGAAGGCGGTGGTGAGGACAGTGTTTGGACAGCAGTACAGTGGGGAGTGGTGGGGACAGTTGGGACAGTGGTGGGGACAGAGGGGACGGTGGGACAGCACAGTGGGACAGCGGCGGGGACAGTGGGAAAGTGGTGGGTACAGTGGTGGGGACCGTGGGGAAAATGGGGAGAGCGGGACCGTGGTGGGACAATGGTTGGCAGAGTGGGGACAGTGAGACACTGGTGGGGGCACTGGTGGGGACAGCGGGGACAATGGTGGAACAGTGGGAATAGTGGTGGGGACTGTGGGACAGTGGTGGTTGGGACAGTGGTGGGGACAGTGGGAGTGTGGTGGGGACAGTGGGACGGTGGTGGGGACAGTGGTGGTGGGGACAGTGGTGAGGGCGGTGGCGAGGACGGCGGCGGGACAATGGGAAATAGGTACAGTGGGGACAATGGTGGCGACAGTGGTGGGAACAGTGGGACAGCTCCATGGGACGTGGGGAGAGTGGGACCGTGGTGGGAACAGTGGTGGGGACACTGGGGACAGTGGGACGGTGGTGGGAACAGTGGGGACAGTGGTGGTGAGGACAGTGGTGCTGGGAACACCAGTGGGGGATGTGGTGCGGACGGTGGTAGGGACCCAGAATCGTTTGCTGGCGGTGAGATTGGGGGGGGGAGGGGTTCGAACCGGTAGTGCCCCCCCCCCGGGTTTTCTGGAAGGGGGGGGGCCCGGTTTTCTGGGGAAGGGGGTTATTCGAACCAGTAGTGACTCCCCTGTTTTTTCCGAGAGGGGGGGGGATCTGAACTGGTAGTGACCCGCCCTGATTTTCCGGATGAGGGGGGGGTTCGAACGGGTAGTGACCCCCCCCGGTAAACTGGAGGGGGGGGTTTCGAAGCGTAGTGAGCTCCTCCCGGTTTTTTCCCGAGGGGGAAGGGTAGGGGGGGGTTTTGCTGGGGGAAGGGGGGGGGGGGGGATCCAGCAAGGGGGGGAGTTTAGGAGGGGTGGGAGAACCCTGGGTTACGGAGGAAAAGGAGGGGGACCCCCAGGTTACGGAGGAAGAGAGGGGGGAAAAGGTGGGGATAGAAGGATGCATAAAGGTCTTGGCCGTACTCATCCAGAAGAAGACGGAAACTGTTTTGCAGAGCGCCGATAGCAATAGGGCACGCCATATAGTATAACATGTCATCCCCTCCCAAGGCTTGCCACTCACATCTGCACCCCACAGCTCAACATCGGTAGCGTCTGGTCGTATTCAGTTGACAAGATCTTTAAGACAGGCTGTAACAACAAACCCAGGAAGGTGAGCACCGAAAGTAGCAGGAGGAGGACGAGGAGGAGGAGGAGGAGCAGGAGGCGGAGGAGGAGGAGGGGGAGCAGGAGGAGGAGGAGGAGAAGGAGGGGAAGGCGGAGGAGCAAGGAGAGGGTTTTACTGCAATCTCGTTGCTTTGGCAGATTGGCTGCCGTGCTGGAGTGGCCCTCCTCTCAAACTGTCTCAGGCGAGGAGGAAGAGGAGGAAGGCGGAGGAGCAAGGAGAGGAGGAAGAGGAGGAAGACGAGGAGAAGGGAGGAGGAGGAACGCGCAGGGAGTCAGCAGCCACGGAGTCCGGATGCTCGTCTCGACCCAGCCCTCCTGGATGGCGGGGGGGCGGCAGGGGTTAGAGAGAAGGAGGAGGGGAGATGGAGGAGGCCCCAGATCTCAGATTCTTGTTCAGTCGGGGCCACCACTTCGGGCCCCAGGGCCATCAAGCATGGATGCGGGGGGGCCAACAGCTTGCCCTCGGGATGCGATCAAGGCCCCTGGGGCCGCGGATTGCACAACTCACATCGGCGGATGACAGGGGAGGAAGGAGGGGGAGGAAGAGGCATTAGAGGAGGCTGGCAGCAGCCTTATTTTTGGACGCCCAACATGGGTACGAAAAAAAATGATACAATGCCCAACAATACGTGTTGTCCCACACCAGCAGCGGCCGCTGTTGGGCAGGCGGTCTTCTGTCTCAAACGGACACAGGCCGCGGCGGCGCGGACAGCGAGTCCTGTTCAGAATGAACAGGAACTGCTGTTGGGCAGTGTACCCATTCTTTCCGTACCCATTTCATTCGCGCAGATTATTTGTTATCGCTGGCCAGAGTCGGTGTTGTCCTGTCTAGCCCAGAGCCTTACTGCACTGGAAGAGCGCAAGAGCCCAGAAGCTCATGTATGGGCAGCGTCAAGAATTATAGGAGGAGGCTTGGAGGGGATCAGATAGGGGCTGCGTCCAGACGCGCTCCTCACTCCCCCCTTGTTTCTGTCGCAATCACCCCTCGTCACCCTCGCCCACCCTGTCCAGACCCACCCCCTCTCCCTGCCTATGGCGGCGCGCACAGGGGGGTAGGGGTAGGGGGGAAGGCTTTTTAGAATGAGGCTCCTTCTTCGAACCCGACATTTACAGACAAGGTCCGCGCCTTCTGACAAGCAGCCTCCTCCTGAAAAGCCTTCCCCCTTCCCCCACCCTCTCTGCGTGTGGCCGCTCCCTCCTCTCGCAAGTGGTGCGGCGGCAGAACAATTTGCGGGGGAAGAACGGTACGACATCGCATGTGCCGTCCGCCATCGTGGGCGCACGTCCCCCGATGGCAGGAACCAACTTGACATAGCCCACGCAGTTGCGGATCAGAGTGAGAGGCGGCGGAATTGTCGGCCCTCTGCGAGGTTCTGAAACTGCCCGCCGCGAGCGCCGCATGTCGCACATACAGTCGGGGCGTTGACCTAAGGAACCCTAAATAAGAAACGAGACCGACTTTCCCCTAAGTAAGACTTCTATTTCCAATGGAAAACCCAAGGAAAACTGTCAAACGATCAAGGAACACCGAGCCCCTCCCCAACGAAAAAGGTTCTTTCTTCAGCGCCCCGACTGTATTGCGCAACGAGCCCGCCGCAGGTGCGTATCTTCGTCAAAGCCATGCGGGGGTCGCAGGCAGATCGAGGATCGGTCGTGGGGTGCTTCGCGGCGGCTCGCAGGCTGGTCGTGCCGACCAGCCATAACTGGGGGAGCTGTGGTCCTTACCCCCCCGGGGGAACCCATCGCATCGACGATCTCTCGAGAGGGGTGTCGAAATCGACGGGTCCCCCAGGGGGGTAAGGACCACAGCTCCCCCAGTTGTGGCTGGCCTGTCGTGGGCAGGTCGCGGGCGAGGATGAGGACAACACACACACACAACAAACGAACCACCAGCAGTGAGAATCCTCGCCGCGGAAGCCCACTCCAGGCACGCCCCCAGGGATGAAAGACCACTCTGCCCCCACACTCTGATACAAACACATACGCGCAGACATACACGTCTGATATGTGTACGTCTTTTCTTCGCCCGCTGAGAGGAAAGCATGACAAGGGACGAGCTGGATGTAGGAGAAGGGGGGAGGGGCAATGGCAACTTGGCCTGCCATCCCTCGCCTTCCTTGCCCGCCCAAGAAGGCAGGCCTCCTCCTCCTCGTACTCTCCTCCTCCTCCTCCTCCTCCTCCTCCTCCTCCTCCTCCTCGTCTTCCCCTCGAATGGAGAAACGTCGCGCAGAAAGAACTGCACACACGAAGCTGCTGCATGCATGAATTGCCATGCTTCAAGCAAGCGGTGAACCCGTGACTGGCCGACACGCGTTGCCCGCATGCATGTACATCCCTTTTTATTCGCACGCAACTATGTGCGCGCTGATGCGTGTACACCAACGGTGGCATGAATTCAGACGCGCATGAAGTGGAAGCGCGTCCAGATGTTTGGCTTATTCGAACGTTTGAGGCACACGTCACCCTGCACGGACGGCCATCCTACACACCAAGTTCGATGGACCGAAACTTTGACAGAAAGAGTGAGGACGAAGCCCCACAACATCTCTTTACATGTTGAACAGGGCTCTTTGCAAAGGACAACTTGTTGTTGGGCATCGCCCCAATTCCTCAGGTCGGACGAAACGGACGGACAGGAAGACTTTGGCGAATGAGCTGCACGCAGCTGGCTTTCCAGGCGCCTCCTGGCGCCGATGGCGGCCATGTCCCGAGGAAAAAGCCCAACGACGGGGCCGAAATCAGCTGCTTTCGGCTGTAGCCAACGATCGGACAGCACGCATATGCCCGCTTCGAACAGCGAGCGAGGGCCCCGCGCCAATGCCCAGAACGCCCACCGCAAACGGCTGACCGAAGCCCACCGGCTTGTTTTGAACCTCCTCTGAGAGCGACAAGAAATATTCTTGGGTCCAGGGCTGACGGGGACAACTATTCTTGGGCCCGTCCTCTGAGAGCGACACGACATATTCTTGGATCCGCCGTCTGAGAGCGACACGAAATGTTCTTGTACAGGGACAATCTCCCGCTGCAGTTGCTGAACGGGCAGAACAGAGCAACCTGCAACGCGTATGTCTCGGATAACCACGTTGTGTCTCGGTCCTCCTCACCCTCCCCATCCCCCCCCCCTCCTCCTCCTCCTCCCTCTCCTCCTCCCTCTCCTGCTCCCTCTCCTCCTCCTCCTCCTCCTCCTCCTCCTCCTCCTCCTCCTCCTCCTCCACGTCTTCCTCCTTCTCCTCCTCCTCCACGTCTTCCTCCTCCTCCTCATCCTCCTCCTCCTCCTCTTCCTCCTCTTCGTCTTCCTCCTTTTCCTCCTCCTCCCTCTCTTCTTCCTCTTCGCGGTCTCCGCCTACCTCTCCTCTTCCTTTCTCTTCAACCTCCTCTCCTAGTCCTCCTCCTCCTCTTCCACTCCCCTCGTCATTCCCCCAGCTCCTCTCCCCCTCCCCCCTCCCCCTCCCTCCACCAACCACACCTCGCTCCATCATCCTTTCCTCCTCCTCCTCCTCCTCCTCCTCCTCCTCCTCCTCTTCCTCATCCTGCTCCTCCTCCTCCGCCCAATCACTCCTCCGTCTCCCCTCCCCGAGCTCCCACGCTCCTCCTCGTCGTCCTCCTCCTCAGCCCCAAACTTCGCCGGCCAGCCACAAACCAGAAGGGGGAGTCAGCCCCAAGACGGAGGCACGGAGAGGCGAGAGAGGCGCGCGGGTCTCCCCAGCGAGCGTGACGATGACGACGTGGGCCAGCGTCACGGCCAGCCTGGGGCAGGCGAAGCAGCTTGACTCGCCGAGCGCGCTGCGCTACTCGCAAAAGTGCCGACTCGCAAACGTCCAAAAAAAAACCTGCCTGGTTTGACGTAATCTATCGTCGATTCCCCGCGGGAGATCCAGGCCATTTGCGAGTACAGGGCAGTTTTGAATGTAGGATGTTTAATACATGATGAATTCATGAAGGAATTAATGCATGAACGCATCGTTGTTTTTAGTACTAGATCCCTGCATTTTCACGCGGAGCATGTATTGAAAACGGCACTGTAGTAACTTTGCGACCAGTGCAACGAGCTCGTCGATTGACAGGCGAGCTGCACGCACTCGAGCACACATCGGGGGCGTCCACAAGGAGGGGCCCGAGGCACGCGCGCGGCCCTGGGGGGGGGAACCAAGGGACGTGTTGAGATAGAAGGAGTCCTCCTCCTCCTCCACCTCCTCCTCCTCCTCCTCCTTCTCCTTCTCCCCCTCCTCCCCCTCCTCATCCTCCCTCTCCCCCTCCCCCTCCCCCCCCTCCTCCTCCTCTTCCTCCTCCTCCACCTCCTCCCTTTCATCCTCCTCGCGAGGGGGGCGTTCGAGAGGGAGGCGTCCAAGAGGGTTGGACGCAAATCATGCCCCGAAGCACGTGCGCGGCCCAGGGGGGGACCAAAAGACGGGTTGACAGAAGAAGAGGGGCCATGACATCGGGGGAGATACCATGGTACGGGCCTAAGGCTTCCTCCCCAAAGTCATCCCCCCTCTTCGCAGCCGAAAAAGGGGTCGGGCAGGTCGGGCCATCGCTTAGGACCTAGTAGGCGCGATTGAAGGGCCATTGGGTCGTGTTAGGCCAAATGAGCCCCAACTGAGCGGAATTAGGCCGAAGCAGCCGTGGACCTACCAACGCCGAGCCTGATTTCACACTCCCAGGAGGTCTCAGAATGTGCTCGTGACAGACTGCACGATGGCCTCGAGACCTCGAGGGCACCCCTGCACGCCCCGTCGCCGAATGGTGCCGGGGACCTCGGAGACCTACGTCGCCCGAGCACCCTCGGACGACGACCCCTGCCGCAGAAGCCGGGCGCCCGCCTGAAGCCCCGGCGACTCGCACCGTCGCATCGGGGCGTCCAAAGAGTGGGGCGCGTCCGAGAGGGGGGCGCGCCACATGGCCCGAGGCACGTGCGCGGACGAGGGGGGGGGGCCAGGGAACGCAGCGAAATGAGAGGTGGGGGCCGTGCAAATGCTGGGACCTGGTTAGGACCCCCCGCTCCTCCTCCTCCTCCTCCTCCTCCTCCTCCTCCTCCTCCGCCTCCTCTTCCTCCTCCTCCGCCTCCTCCTCCTCCGCCTCCTCCTCCGCCTCCGCCTCCTCCTCCTCGTCCTCCTCCTCCTCCTCCTCCTCCTCCTCCTCCTCCTCCTGGACGCTCCCGATCGTATGGTTCCAGACCGCGCGGTGACCTCGGAATCCCTCGGGCCCCCAAAGAACTCACCGCACGGTCCGCCACCGCGCCGCACGGTCCTGGGGGCACTGGGGGCCCCGGTCGCCCGTGGCGTCCTCGGGGGACGACCCATGTCCCGAGGCCGCGCGGCGACCCCGAATCCCCACTGACCCACCACGCGGTGTGGTCACCACACCATCGGGGGCCCCCCGACCCTCAAACCCGGAGCTGGCACGGCCGAAAGGGTGCGGAGAAAAGGACTACGATGCCCAACAGCAAACGTGATCCCAAACCGTCAGCGGCCACTGTGGGTCAAGCGACCCTCAGCTCCAAGTGGGCCACATCCGTGGCGACACCAACAACTATCCCTGTCCCAAACGGACAGGAACTGCTGTCGGTATGTGAGCTAACTTTCTCCGTACAGGGCAGTGCTTTAATACATGGGATGTTTAAAAACATCGGATGTGTTAATACATGCTTAAGTTATGAATCAATGTGTGCATGAACTCGTCGTTGTTTTTAGTACTGAATCCCTGTATTGTTAATACATGATCCGCACGCGGAGCATGTATAAAAACGGCACTGTGCCCGCTTCGTTCGTGTTGACCATTAAAGAGCACCTCTTCGGGCTGGGATGAGGGGCCCTGTTATCCCAGGGCCCTCAACCCAAGAGGGCTCCAGGACGGCCCTCCATGACAGCACGAGAAGAGGCACAAGCATTAGCTGCTTGGCTGTTGCAGGATGTTGAGGTTCTCGCCTTGTCGGGTTTGCGACCGCCTGACGTGACCCCAAATCGTTCCAAAGCATATCCAAGTCATCCCGAAGAGGCGCCCAAGAGGCATCTCCTGGCGCCAGTATCGGCTCACCTTGGCCCCGTCTTGGGTCAGAGGGGGCATCGCCTCCTCCTTCGAAGCTCCTTGCAGCACGACGTTGGGTGTACCAGCGCGCTCGCCTCTCTCTCCTGCTCTCTTTCTACCTTTCTCTCTCTCTCTTTCTTTCTCCTCTATTTCTTGCTGTATGTCTCTCTCTCTCTCTTTGTATTCTCTCTCTCTCTCTATCTCTCTGTTTCTCTGTTATGCTGAAGGTGCATGCCTCACATGAAATCCGCCACGGCGCCCATGGCACGAAGTGGAGTGCCCCAAGGCAACTGTGCTACTGCAGCCAAAACTCTAAATTGTTCATGGTCTGGACACCAGGTTTCCAGGGCGCTCTCAAGCGGGGCTGGGCGCTACTGGGCTGTTTCGCGTGGGCTTCTGGGACGTTGACCCCCAAGAAAATCACCCGGAACAAACCACTGAATTCTCCAGGAGCGCCCCGGAGGGTCCACGACTGCCCCGAAATGGCGCCAACAGGTTGCCCTGACTGCCGATGATACCCTCCGCAAGCCCTGACTGCCAGATTGCCAAAGACGCCTCCAAGACGCCCCCAAAGGCCTTCGAAAGCACTCCCCGCAGAGCCCCAAGAGGCGAACAGCATGCATTTTCTAGAGGCTCTGGGAGGACTTGGGCGTTCTCGCCTTCCCGACGCTCCAAGACGGCACAAGAGGCCCCCGAACTCGCCCCGAGACAGCCCACGAGGCCTCCACGACGAAGGCCCCAAACCAGCCAAAAAGGCACCAAAAGGGTCCAAAAGGGGCCCCAGGCGGCCCAAGGAGCATCCAGGACGGCTCCAAGGGAGGGCCCTGACGGGGGGCCCGAACGGACGTGTCTCTAAAGGACCCCCTCCGCTTTTTGAGCACATCCAATGCGTCTCCAGGAACGCAGCCCGGAACGCACGGAGGCGGCATCCAAGCCTACGCAGCGACGGCAAGTGTGGTCACAATTACAAGCCTGCCGCCGCTTGGCGAGCCAAGGTAAAAAAAACCCAGTGGAGAGGCGCAATCATGGCGGAGGGCAAGCCACGGGCGCACGTTGAGCCTGACTGGCAATAAAAAACGAAAACGTCGATACAGAAACGCGCAAGCACCCCCATGTCTCTATAGGTTCCCCCCCCGTTCTTCAGCACAGCGAGTGCGCGTCTCGAGGGCGCGGCCCGGGACGCAGGGAGGCGACGGCCAAGCCCACGCAGCGCGTGGCAAGTGCGATCACAATTACCAGCCTGCCGCCGCTAGTCGGGTCAAGGCAGCAAGCTCCCCAAATCGCTTCAGCATCAGAGGTGCGCTCTCTCTCTTCGGTGGCAGCAGCGACGCGTGCGGCGGCGAGATCTTGGCAGAAGCCTTTGGCGTATGACTCGGCGACCTTTTGCCACGGCGCTCGGCGTTTTGGATGAGGCCCAGAAAGCTGAGGGCGAGGGCGACCAGAAGAGCTGCAACGTTTCCTGCCGCAGCAACGTCTACCTCGAAGATCTTGCACTAAACTCTATGGCGCGTTCCCAGATAAGAAATGAGTCCGCTTTCGCCAGGCCGCGCTGTAGCTACAAAAGCCGAGGGTCACTTAGACGGCGTCTGCGGCAGCTGCCCGCCGCCGCAAAGCTTGTTTTTGTTTCGCATCACGCTGCTGCGCGGGTTCCCCGAGAACCGCCGTATGGGGCAACGGCCGAAGATGTGAATTAAGCGAAGAGTAACTCCCATCAATGTGTTGCCATGCCGCAGCGCGGAATGGTCTTCTTCAGTGAATAGACCTCTGTCTCGAACACCCCGCGGCGCGGCGTAAAAGAGGTTATAATGAGACGTGCCCCCCTGCGCGCGCTTGAGAGACTGGCGCAACCGGTCACCAGCGGCTCGGAATAGATGAGCCCTTCGCTAGCGTCTACTTCGATTCGGCGAAGCACAGCTTGATCGGCCAAATCCGGATGCTCGCCATACCTGAGATCCCCACGTCTGGCCGCGAGGCCGCGGTGGGCGATGAACCGGCCGACCCCGTCCAACTCCGCGGCGCAAATCCGCCAAGCACGGCCGCGCTGTCACAGAGACGCGAAGGGCTGGGCGGCAACGCGGCCGAAGAAGAGCGCCTCGGGCTGCTCGTCGGCCTTCTTGAACTGCGCGGCCCGCCGCGGCTTGAACTGCGCGGCCGACTGGTTGCGTTCTCGTGGCGTCTCCAGGAAGACTCGCGCTGACATCTGCCCCTCTTCGTGAGCTCGAGGTCGCGATGGCGGCCTGGAGGCTCAGTGGCGCCCCCGAGTGCCTGCGCCGGTATAGCGCTTGCGCGTTGAATTGCAACCTTTCGCGCGCCCCGTTGAACTCGGCCACCGGCTCCGGGAGGGCGCGGGGGGGCAGCGGCGACGCGGAGGGCGCAGCGGCGACGGCGGAGATCGCCGTGGGCAGCCGCGGGCAGAGCTCATATTGGTCAGGCTGATGGCCGACCCCATCGCCCTGCATCTGGTTGTTGCGCGCGGCGGCCAGGCTGCCGGAGAACAGGGTCGCTGCGCGAGTCTCGGCGCAGGATGGTCAAAAGCACGCCGGGCCCGTGACGGGTCGCAACCGCCCAGGCAACGCGCGGCCCCATCAGCCAGAAACTGCGGCAACACAGGTCCCAGATCACGGCAAACCACTTCGCCCTCACTACTGGGTTGCGCGACCGTCGTCCACAGCGGCGGCGCCAGCCCGTCAAGCGACGCCAGGCCCAGGGGAGTCGCGGGCCCC